AAAATCTAAAAATAATAGGAAAAAATATTAATTTGAATATTATAATTATTTTCATAATAAATAAATAATTGTAAAATATGATATATATATATGTAAATTTCTATATAAAAATATGATGTTTAAAATGTTAAAATAAAATTATATTATTGAAGGTATATGAATAAAGTAAATAAAATCTATAAAAAAAAAAAATTTTTTAAATCATCTAAATTATTTAAAAGTTAAAACATAATTTTTCATAAGTTTTGTTTGATCTAATAATTAATTTATTGTCATACAGTTTACAGTATCTCTAACGCTAATAGAAAATGTAATTATTAATTATTAAACAATTTTTTTTAAAAAAAAGAGCACAACTAACAAAATAAATAAAACTCATAAATAGGACTCATAATTATACATACAATACTCATACAATAGCACCTCCTATCACCAAACTATTTGATCTCATAAAATTATTTTTTTGTTTCTAATATTAGAAATCACAAAAAATTATTATTATTAAGAACTTGCCTTTAACCATCAATTTTTTTAGAGAAATATGCAATAAACATTTCTAAATATTCATTATATCACTTATAGGACAACTTTCATTATAAAAACTTTACTGTGATTCCTATTTTTTTTTCCCAGTATGATTTTATCGTGATTTACTGATTTACTGTGAATCTCAATGTGATTTAAACTTTTAAAGGATATAATACCAGGTTTTTCGTTATAAAAACTTTATATACTTATAAAATATGTTCAATAAAGCGTAAATATCAAAAAGTAATTGACAAAAATATTAAAAACTAAAATTTTTATTGTAAGGAACGAACTTGATGTGGCTTAGATAAAAAAATTGATCGATACATGATCGGCATCAAGGACACCAACGACACAACTGTGCCTAGCTCTCGAAGAATTTGAAGTAATAAACACTTGTTAAAACTTGATGGTCAACTTCAACATTGTCATTTTAATATGAAATCGCCAGTTTTATATCCACAATAAACAAATCAAATCAAATCAAATCAAGACGGGTATAAAAATCAAAAATTTCTCGTCACTGCGCTCAAAGAATAAGTAAAAGTAGCACACGCGTTGAAATTACAAATTACAGTATAAAGACTAATAAAATTACCTTAAAGATAATACTATCTACATTAATATATAGATGGCTTAGGTAAATTAGGTAAATGGTATAGAAAAATTCTTACTATACCCTCTACACAAATGCTTATAAATTGGGAGAATTTGTAATAATAAACATGCATTTTATGATAAATATGTATAATAATTTATGAGTTCTTAAAATTTTGTCTATATAACTGATAAAAGATATAAAATTGCTGGTATATCTGGAATATCTTTAAATTTTAATTAATGAAATTATTACATGCTATATGTAGATCATTTTAATTTTATGACGATTTTAATGATCACTGATTCAATATTATTATTTATTTTTCTCAAATTGTATAATCAAAATCTAATGTTGATTTTACCATAATCGTTCTTATTTATAATTTCCTATTTATAATCATTATTTATTTTGCACTCATTTATTTTGCAACTCACGATCATCATGATTGCCACTTCACGATCATGACAGTATTATGACATCAGATATTACGCAATTTCAAACTTTTATTGAGATAAGTGAAATAAGTGACATGAAGAAGAATTAGGGACATGAATTATCGGCTTATTTTAAAGTGATATTTTGAAAAAATAGATAAGTGACAAAAAATTTTCAGACATGGAATTTTCATGGAATCCATAAAAATTCCATGGAATTCGACAAAAAAATATACGATGAAGAATAAAGTATTATAAAAACAAGTTACACAATATAAATTAATAAGTTTTTCAAAAATTTCGAATTTTGTGATTTATAGGTGACAACCATCATATAGTTAAATAAGCATACTAGGTCAGAATATTTCAAATTTAAAACTATAATTCAATTTTTCGGTAATAATCAAAAAAAGCAATTTCGGGTCATCTAACATGCTACCAGTATTAACATAAAATCCAAGATTGTGCTCCAGTAATTTGGTTGGTATCATGTAAAATTAGGTAACATTAATCACCGAAGGAAACCAGGCGTAATAATGAGATCGGCACTGATCGTACGATCGTACAGACCTTATCTCTGATCCTTTTGATCCTTCAGCAACCTATCGGACTTGCTATTCATACATTTGATATTACTCAGCAAATTATTTCGGACTAATTGAAAAAATAAAGATGCAAAGCGTAAAAAAATCACGTGAAATAATAATAACAATACCCGAAATAAATATAGTTTGGATCAAGCTAGTGTCCTTTTAAAGTTCAAGATACCGGATATTCCGATATATAAAAGTTCCAATAATTAAAAATAGTTACAAGAGCACACAACAATCAAACAATTCAGAGACCACATATTAATGAGTGGGACGAAATTCTTCTAAGCTTCCTAATCTTTCTTTAATAAAGTGTCGAATAAAAAGATTAAGATAATCAAAATTTTAGATTCAAAAAGGAGTTAGATGGTGGCTTTTCATCATGTTAACCTATTAAATATTATAACGAGATTTCGAAAATGTGCAAAATGTGCCCAAATTATTAATTATTCCAATAAATTTTTTTTTTTTAATTTTTAATAAATTTTTAATTCCCAAGATTATAATAATAATAAAATTAATAATAATTTTAATTCACAGGATTATAATAAACCGAAAGGAAAAATTTTCTGAAACGAAAATTTTTAAAAAAAAGAATAAACATGAATAATAATAATAATAATAATAATAATAATAAATTATTATTTTTTTTTAAAAAAAAAAAAAAAAAAAAAAA